GTTCGTAGGATTTGCATGCAGAGCAATATAATGTCTACAAAAACGTCATATGTATCTGTATAGCCGGTATAACAGCCCTTCTGTCTCCCTCTTTTTCTGTAGACTCCGGCCCAAGCCCCACAGGTATCATTAATGTCGTCTCAGAAACCAGAAACTGTGACAGGGTCAGCATCCCGGATCTGTAGTTACACATGGAGAAGTGTACCGCTGTGTGGTTTCGTAGGATTTACATGCAGAGCCATGCCTACAAAAACGTCATATGTATCTGTAGAGCCGGTATAACAGCCCTTCTGTCTCTCTCTCTGCAGACTCCGGCCACAGCCCCTCAGGTGTCATTAGTGTCGTCTCAGTAACTGTGGCAGGGTCAGCATGGAGAAGTGTACTGTTGTTTCGGCTCGTAGGATTTACATGCAGAGCCATGCCTACAAAAACGTCATATGTATCTGTAGAGCCGGTATAACAGCCCTTCTGTCTCTCTCTCTGCAGACTCCGGCCACAGCCCCTCAGGTGTCATTAATGTCGTCTCAGAATCCAGCAACTGTGGCAGGGTCAGCATCCTGGATCTGCAGTTATACATGGCCGTCTGTATCTGTAACTGTACATGTGGCAGTATACGTAGTCTAGGAGGAGATTCTCAGAAGTGGCCTAGAAAATGTACATACTTCGGGCATTACCATGAAATCATACTTTGATGTCTCCTGATCATTTTAATGTATGACGTGAGGGAGAAGTGTACTGTTGTGTGTACTGTTGTTTCGGCTCGTAAGGATTTACATGCAGAGCCATGCCTACAAAATTGTCATATGTATCTGTATAGCCGGTATAACAACCGTTCGGCGTAGCACACCGATTCTGAGTGACATATCTTATTACGATTTTTATGCATCTGCAAATAAAGAGCTTGACGTATGATACATTTCCTTACATTCTTTGTTAAGTATACCCACGTAGAATGCTAAAGTGTTGTCCAATATCTTTTGTGGACGTGAATGTATGGTGTTGGCACGTGACTCAACAAACACTGTTCTGATTGGTTGACTCGAGTGGAGCCACACCCAGAAACCTGCATTTACCGTGTGAGCACGTCACTGGAATTACCCAGAAACTGGCTTGCCGGTAGATTGTACTGCGCCTGCGTAAAAGCCTGTTTTTTAACGGTTTTTGATGCGGTCATCATCTGATGACATGTTTATTTTGTCCTGTTGTTACTTCTGTATGTTTTACATTGTTTTGTTCCTTGTATCATATGTGTATTTTACGTTTTATGTATTATGTGTCTAGGGCCCACTGCAAAGCAGTGCTTGGCCACTGAGAGGATCACCCTGGTTACAAAAGACAATAAAAAAATCATTGCGGCATCCGTTGAATTAATTGTTAACAAAATGAGAAATGCCGTACAATAACAACATCTACTATGTCTTTATGTTTCTATGTCAGATGTTGAGTCTCCTGCTGAATATCAAGTTGGCAGAACTGACGCTTGTTAACTCTTCTACCTGTGCTTTTTTTTAATATTCAAACATTTCATGACTAGACATGGCGACAGCACACTCAAGTTATATCAACTTATTTCATACCGCCTCAAAAGCAGAGGACAAATACAGGATAGGACAATAACATTTTCACTTGGGTTGTGTGAGGAAAGTCGTATAAAGTGCCTTTCCGAAGAGCACCAGATCGCTGGCATGTCAGGACTCAAACCCGGGACCTCTTGGTTCTGAGTCGAGCACTCTGCCGGTACGCCATACGACCCCAAGACCTGTGCTTACGGAGCGTCTTTATTGTACTTCGTATATGTCTACATAGGGGGCGTTTGGGTACTGATATTGGAAGACATTGGTTGATGTGTCAACTCCCGCTGCATGCTGTTTACAGACATGCATACAAAATCTTCAAGAATGGAAGATTGTTGCATGCTTGTATGCAGAATCAGCCCATTTTACGTTTAGCTCATGCTGTACCTTGCTGATATATGGTGCCATTTTGATCCGCCTGTTGCACATATCTGTATCTGTATAGCCGGTATAACCGCCTTTCGGCGTAACACACCAGCTTCGCAGGCACGCGGCGCGGCGGCAGCTGGCTATATTACACCGATCGACTTGTTACACCTAACCCTTGAACTTCTAGCTCTAGACATTGTTTAAAGCTATCTATTGACAATGCCCCTACTGTACTTGGTGACAGTGAGTTCCACTCTGCGATAGTTCTAGGAAAGAATGAATTCTTGAACACCTCAATCCTTGGTTGATAACTCTGGTACTTGAATGCGTGGCTATTTCTTGTTCTCTTCTGGGCTGGTATTAGGTACTTAGTAGTTGGGACATCCACCAGTTTATTAGTCATTTTGTACATCATGCATAGTCTAGACATCTTTCTTCTGTCTTCCAGTGAGGTCCATTGTAGGTTTCTTTTCATTTCCGTGACACTAGCACCTCTTACATAGTTGTTCATACAGAATCTTGCAGCTTGATTCTGAACCCTTTCCAATTTGTCTTTGTCTTTCTTTGTATATGGATCCCATACTGTCGCAGCGTATTCTAGGTTCGGTCTTACAAGTGACGTGTATGCAAGTGATTTTACTCTAGTTGGACATGCCCACAGATTACGTTTAATCACTCCCGATGTCTGTTTCGCCTTAGTTGTGATATTATTAACATGTGCACCCCACTTCAGTCCGCTTGTCAGCGTGACGCCCAGATACGGATGGATTTTTGTGGTTGCTAAAGCCTGACCACAAAACTGGTAGCTAGTTGCATGTGGTGTTCGTTTGTTTGTTATGTGCATAATGTAGCATTTTTCGGGATTAAACTGCATGAGCCATTTGCTTTGCCATTCTTCCAGTGTGTTCAGGTCTTTTGGAGAAGTTGTGAGTCGGTCTGTGTAGAAAGCTGTACATACAATAGATACATACATATGCACAATACATTACGGGTTTCGCGAAGTTGCAGCATTCTGTCGACAAGCTGTTCAATGTCCGTGTGATACCCCCTGGTAGTACCAAGGGAACTCGCTAGGTGGCGCCCTCCAACCACCTAGAAGGCATTTTGAGGAGGAAAGCACTTTGCAGAGAAACAATGCCGTAAATCTGTTGCACGGCTTATGTCTATGGTCCACAGCGGTCAATGATAATCATGGTTAAAGAGTTAACCCAGGTCCTTATCTACCCTACAATTTTCTGCTGAGAAATCTGCTATTACTATTCGTGTGCGACTGACTTTAAGCAACCCAAGTTAGGATACATAAAGAAGTCCCAGACAACGTCGTCATTCAAAACAAGAGTGCACTAGCTGGCATATTCTCTCCACCATCGAGACTTCTACATGTAGCTAGAACCTTGCAGTTGCTGTAAACTAATGATTAGCCAGGTGTGTTATTGTAATGTTACGGCACAGACCATTGTCCACGTTAGCACATCATAGAAAAGAAAGCAGGTTCAGATGAAAAGAACCAACAAATAAGGTCCACAATTAGGTGAATCTGTGTTACCACGTCGAACACATGTACAGCAACGTGTTCTGGGTTTTATTTTTATGGTCATTGTAAACATGGGTTGCCTAACTACAGACTGAAATTCGTGTGACAATTTGACGACTCCAAATGATCATTAGCAACAAAGAACGAGAAGACGATGCGTAATAAGACATCGCCCTGCCCACAGTGTCACGAGGCGACTGCATGGAAACACTAGTCATAGTCGACAGCTGCTTTTGTGACGACCGAATAACAAGCAACCGGAGATGCAATTCCTTTGTAAATTTTTATGTGTTTTTCTGACTCTCTCGTTTTACGTGTAGGCATATTGGTAAATTTCTCTTTGGACACACACAAACACACACAGACAGACAGACACACACACACACGCAAACACACACACAGTCAAACACACACACGCACACACACACACACACACACACACACACACACACACACACACACACACACACACACACACACACACATACTCTCTCTCTCTCCCTCGCACACACACACACACACACACACACACACACACACACACACACACACACGCGCGCGCGCGCGTATAAACACACACACAAGACAGACAGATCACACACGCACACACACGTATAAACACACACAAACAAACAGCCCCCTTAGCAGACAAACACGTGCCTACATGAAGGTGAATGTCTCTATCGTTCCCAGGTAAACACGTTATGTAAGCTGTTGTCAGTTACTATAACTCATCTCGTGTTCTAACCTTTCCTTACTGCGCGTGTTGTACTTTGACATTACGCATATTTGCTCAAACTACTCCAAACAAACCGTGACATTTCAACTGAAAAGTTTATTGATACATCAAAATGACAACAAGCACATCCAAACAAACTCGGGTGCGTTTTGTATATGAGATCGTACATATGTGCGGGGATGTGATGGTGCAATAGAACCTCTGCTGTGCTCAGTTGTCCATAATCCGTGCCCGTCCGATTCCGATAGTTTGTCGTCCACTTTGAAGGTCTCTTCGTCTTTTTTCTTTTATTCTCAAGTTATTGAAATTTGGAATAGAATCTACAGACACATTTCTGATAAAAAGTGCATCATTGTCCATTTCTCTTCCCTTTTTAGCTTTTAGATTGGGGTCTTATTGACTTTACCAAAAGGTATCGAAATTTGTAAATTGTTTTTCGACTGACACCTACTTGATGTTTACACATGAGGGCTCATCCGCCAACTGGTTGGTTAAATAGAAAAGACTGAGAAAGTGGCTTGTTTGTAATGTATGCTCATGTCATCATACCGTGACTTTTGGTACACTTTCAAATTCACCCCAAAACTGACAGCTTTAACCACCTATCATGGCGAAGAGTACTGATAGTCACGTGAGTGCAAATAGGCATTTCGGTGTTTATTCTGTGTCTGCAAACGTCGACATTTGAACTAAAAATGTAGCTATGCCTACAGTCTTACTACCGATGATTGTCTTTTCAATGATATTCTTGGTTTGTCTTTCCGTTGTTCTATTTTTACGCTGATTGGCTGGGCATTCGTGACGTGGTGTGACGTAAGCGATGACGTGTTAAGACTTGCTTCCGGGTGACTCGAGGGAAGAGATGACCTTGTGTAGCCAGGCCATCCTCTGTCGGTTCTCTGTAGGGAAACAAGTTGTCATTAGTGGCGCGTTAGTCACGCGCGCGCGTGTGTGTGTGTGTGCGTGTGTAATAATAAAGTGTGTGTTAGTCAGTGTGAGTGTGTTGGTGCATAAAAAATACTATTAAGTACTCTACAGGTCAAACGCCATGAGTTCAGGAACTATGGCTTACCAAGGCTCACTGTGGATTATTTTCACGGTTATGAGGTCATGAACTCACCCAGGTCATTTATTTGCGTCATTGGTCAGTAAATACGTTTCAAGGTCATGAACTCTGACTCACCCAGGTCGTTGGTCCGCCCGTGCCCGAACACGTACTCCGCCACACGTTTGGACGGCAGCCATGACTCCCGGGCGGTGTTAGCGTGGTACTTCAGTAGGTAGTCTCTCAGGGGGTCGGCGAAGGCGGCTGTACGATCACTGAAAAACAGCAGGGAGGAAATGGAGATTGTGGCTAGAATTGTGTACGGAGACGACATTTAGGTGTGTGTAATCTCAAGGCAGATCCTCCGGTGACTAAAGACAGTATCAAATTGGCCAGGCAGTATCCAGTCGCCAGAGAGGGTCCATACGCCACTTTGTGTGGCGTATGGTCCCTCTCTTTTGCCACCCTGTAGCAGTGTCCGAACAACTAATTATATACCTAAAAATGCAGGTATTGGGATTTTTTCTTCTTTGCTATGAGACGTATAATAACGCTGTGTAAGTTCGGAGCATGTTTGGCAGCAGCGATGCTGGTTACCTCGTCAGGACAATACTCTCTATTTGGCCAATTTTTACACTTTCAAGGCTAAAGCCACCTCCCGAAGCCTGGTAGAGGCTAGCGGCTTCACCTCGTCAGGACAGAGTGTTTTGATCCGCGTGGGTTTGGGTGCGGAGGCGTGCGTGACGTAAATCTGAACTCACCTGCCCCGGGGTGACATTTACTCGCTAACACCCGGCTCTGGACAGATGACGCGGTGCTTTGCTCTTTGTAAAACGTTTTTTTTTTTGCTTCTAAACCAGGGCTACGAATGTTACTATTATTCATGTGTATAACAAACCGAAAGTGCCGAGGCTCACTAATACTTGGCAGATGACGAGGTACTTATGTATGTAAGCCACCAGAGGTCTTAGTTATTACAACTACAAAAACATCTGGATTGGACACGTAGCCAAGTCTACAAATTTTGAGACTGGGCTCATTAGTATTTATGCACGTAAGTCACTACAGTTGCAGCTGTTTGGTGTAGGATAGTCTAGTTATTAACGCTACAAACACATCTCTTGAGTGTGAGATTGGACACGTAGCCAAGTCTATGGGTTTTCAACACTGCAAAAGCATCTTCCTCGGTGAAGGTTAGACATCCAGTAAATAAGATACGCCAGAAACAGTTACTCAAGCAACTGGATATGATTTTGGAAACGGTCAGGCGTTTCAGGTAGCATCCACTAGCTTTCGTCAGTGACACTGGAGAGAAACTTTTTTAGCACGTAGCCCAGTCTCATTTTGAACACTGAGGGAGCAGATGGTTGGGGTAGAAAAGTCTAAATTTAAACCCTACAGAAAAAACCGTCTGGTAAAGGTTGTTCAACACAACGTGTCATGTGTTTCGTGTAGTCTAGTTTTGAACACTACAGATATTCTTTTTTCATTTTGAGGCAGCCGCCTTCAACTAGCTGAAGATTCTGCTGCCTTTTTTGTGGCTAATACAACAATGTAAATACGAGATGGGGTTTGCCAGGCCTCCATCCAGGAAAGTCGTGTGCCTTTTCCAGGGGCACAAGGTTGGTGACATGGCAGGATTCGAACCCGGACCTCTTGGTTCCGAGCCTAACGCTCTGCGGTTACGCCACACAACCCCATAGATGCTCACTTCGTTCTTCGACTTTTTCATAATACGAAAGGATAACCTGCGTGGTGTCAAGGATGCTTCACGTAATTTGTAACACTCCGAGAGCAGCTGTTTGGTGTACGCAAGATGGAAGGCGTAGGCGCGTTGCTCTGTTACCCTGGCGAGAAAGATTCCGGGTTGAGCAGATCCTGTAAAGCAAAGGTGCTGAGGTGAAGGCTGCGGATTACAGGTTTAGGCAGGCAGCTTGTGTTGTTGGTGGTCTGTAGGCGGGGTGGATTTGTTAGTGGCAGGATGTAGGCAGGCGGTTTAAGTCGAGTTAGCGGAATCTGACGTGCGACCGGTGATCTCAACAATGGCCGAGTTCCTTCTTTGGCGTACATTTTTCTTTCAATTTGAGGCAGCTGCTGTCAACTAGCTGAAGGTTCTGCTGTCTTTTGTGGCTAGTACGAGATGGGGTTCGCCAGGCCTCCATCCAGGTGATTTGTAGTGAATCACTAACTCCCAGTGATAGTTTGTACCATCACAAACCGGGGCATGCCACTACTCTTTTTAGTTAATTTTGTTTAAAACAAATTCTAACCAAAGTAGAGTAAATTAAGTGGTGATCTGTAGGCGGGCAGGGTTTGTAAGCGGCGGGTTGTAGGCAGGAGGTTTAAGGTTGGTTTAGCGGAACCGCACGCTTAACGCCTGACGTGCGACCGGCCATGTCGACAATGGCCGAGATAGTTTGTTTGAAACAGTACTGCAGTGGCGTTTGTGGCGCAACGGTTAGAACGTTGGACTCAGAACCAATAGGTCCCGGGTTCGATACTCACCATGGCCCAACGTTGTGCCCTTGGGAAAGGCACTTTACATGACTTCCCTCCCTGTACGGTGGAGTGACGCCCATCGAGCCTCTTCGGCTGATCTGTCAATATGTGTGCCAAAAACACACACTACAGATTTGGTGTACCAATGTGCAAACATCTGCATATTTGCCACCGAAAGCCTGAAAAAAAAAAACTGGAGTACCCTACAGACCATCGTTTCATACTGCAGTGAAAGGGTGTAGGCCGACGATGTCGATAATAGCTGAGTTCCTTCTTTTTTCAATTTGAGGCAGCCGCCCTCAACTAGCTGAAGATTCTGCTGCCTTTTGTGGCAGAAACTAATTTTCACAAACCACACAACCAGCCTAGTCTCCAAACGATAAATGCTATTGTATGCTCTCTGCATAGAGTTGAGATTCTCCCTTCAATTTGACGGTCTAAAACAGCTTTGTTTGCAAGCACTCCACGTCATTATGAGTGTACGTGTCAGCACATTTATGCTTAATACGTACGTGTAGAGATGGTCCTAGTCAGTGGTTCTATTCAACATTCTGCCGGACATACATGTAGTACCCGTTGAACCTATATGCAGAATTTTGATAGACTCATATCAGCTAGTAATGTTATCATCTGCCATGCATTGTACCTGTTACATTCGTTGTGCAATACACTTTGACTTTTGTAAGGCACCAGCTTCGTAGGCACGCGGTGCGGCGGCAGTTGGCTACATTACATTGATCCACTTGTACCTTGTTACGATTACCGCCCTTATCGATAAGAGTAGCGGGTGGGTCAAACCTTACAGTGCGGTCTTACGCAGCTTGTGCTTCCTCAAAGAAGTTCCTATACAAATAAACTGGCCACCGTTACAGCTAACGGTGGTGCAAGGGTCAAAAACAAAATGCAAAACAAACAAGTAAAGGAATGTTGAAACCGGCAAATTTTATTCATTATTTATCTATTCTGTTTTCTTTAGCCAGGGTAGCCTACATAGTGATTTACACTGCTTTGCAGTGGAGCCCTGGACACAGAACACATTAAAAACATACAAATAATACAAGAAACAAAACAATATGGCAAAACGTACAGAAAGTACGTACAGGACAAAACAAACGTGTACGAATCTACAAACTTTGAGGACAAATAGACACACAACGCCTTTATCCATACTCATAGTCTATAGGGGCCGTGTGGCGTAGCGGTAGAGCGTTCGGCCCAGACCCAAGAGGTCCGAATCCTGCCTGATGTCACCGATCTTGTGCCCTTTACACGACTTTCCTCACTTCACCCAGGTGTAAATGAGTACCTAGCTTCGGTTAGGGACGTCCGTCGGATAGTACATTAAATGGAGGTCCCGTGTTTGGGGAGAGCCACACCCTACGCACGTTAAAGAACCCACCGCACTTATCAAAAAGAGTAGGGGACCTTCCCGGTGTGAGTGGTTCAAACCTTACAGATGGGACCACATTCAGTGAAGAGGTGATAGTCACCTGTTATGACAATCCTTCCACAAAATTAAATGTGGTAAATTTTGATAAATAAATAAATAGCAAATGGCTTACCTGTCTGGATACCGGCTTTTGTCGGCCCGCTGGTCGGCCTGTGCGAGCGCCACGCCCGTCAGGAAAATAACCAGTGCGGCCCAGCTCCGCGCAGACGGGCGCACGCGCTCGGATTCCGCCATGTCTGGACAGCACTATGCGCGGACCGGGTCTGAAACTCGCCGGGAGTTGCCGGGAGAATTTGTATCCTAAACGGCCACCCACGTGACTGTACGTAGGTAGGCCGCGGATTGTGGCGTCAGTTGAGGATGGAGTAAACATGTTCTGGTAACCTTCTGCAGTTCCCGCGTCATGCAAGCCAGATACATGATCCTGCCAGATCCATGATACTGCCAAATACATGATACTGCCAAATACATAATCCTGCCAAATACATGATACTGCCAAATACATGATACTGCCAAATGATGTATAGAATCCTTGTAAAGATGTATATAGATGCCGTGTGTTAGTATTTTTGCTACTGTTTATGTTTGATATTTTCCCTTTTTTTTCATATGTGTGTACATGTCAGAATGGACCACAGGAAGAATAGCTACAATTTGTACGCTAAATGTGGATCCTAATAAAGTCAAGTCAAGTCAAGTCAAATACATGATTCCGACACTAATTGGGAGTTTCCAATATACCTGAGTCAAGGGGTGGGAGGGGTTTAGTCGTGATGCGGGAGACTAAACCTAACCTAACCTAACCCTAATCGTGAGTCTAACCCTAGCCCTGAACAATGATCCCAACTCTAACCCTAACCCTTACTCTCACCCCAAGCCGAACCCTAACCCTAACCTTAACCTTAACCCTAACATTCATCATCATCATCTATCGGCTAACAGCCGGGACTAAGCTAATGCAGATTTCTTTCCATACAGCCCTATCAAGCATTACATTTTCTAAGTCATCAAAGTCGATTCCAGTGTCTCTAACTAAGGTATCGGTGAATGTCAAACTTCTGGAGTGCACTCGTCCACGTGGTTTCCACATGAGTACAGATGAAACAATTTCTTGCTTGGCTCGGAAACAATGTCCAGCGAACATAACTCGACGGTGGGTGAGTTTTTGAGACAGTCTTGGGAGCCCTCCATAAATTTTTTCGAGAGTGGCATGTTGCCTCCAAGATATATTCTGTGCCCTCCGCAAGAGTTTTGTATAACCCTAACCCTAACATTAACCCTAACCCTAACCTTAACCCTGACCCTGACCCTGACCCTGACCCTAACCCTAACCCTAACCCTAACCCTAACCCTATCCCTAACCCTAACCCTAACCCTAACCCTAACCCTAACCCTAACCCTATCCCTAACCCTATCCCTAACCCTAACCCTAACCCTATCCCTAACCCTAACCCTAACCCTAACCCTAACCCTAACCCTATCTCTAATACCAAACCCTCTCACGCATTTGGCAGCTCAAGGATTTGGCTGATCATGAACACCGGATCCCCCAGCTATCGCCACGCTTATTCCACGTGCACGCAGGCAGGATCCACGCTATTGGCCAACGGAAGGCCACAGCAAGTAATTTGTACGGATGACGTAAGTTTCTATTGATGTTGGAAAAAAAGTAGAAATTTTGTTGCCCTCTGACAGGGGTCTAAATGCCGAAAATGGGCAAAGATGTCTATTGTCATGCCGGAACATGGATGGCAAATAAATATGAAGAGAGGAGACAAGCCAAGGCTCTGACTTAATGCATTGTTTTTTTGGGGGCCAACCTTGTTTTTTTCGCCCCATCGCATTAAATTTGGAGTCTGCGGAGGATGTCATCCATAAAATTTACATGCTCTGGCCTAAGGCAAGCCGATCTTTGCACAACACGCAACGTGCAAAAAGAATTCTGTCTACCCTTAAAAATAGAAGGAAAGTCTGATCCTTTGGAATGCAATGATCCAATAAATAGAATTTTGTGCATTTCGTTTCATCCCTAACGTTTAACTATTTTCTATTTTGGACTTAGGTAGGGAGTTGACGTCTATTAAAAGACTTCACGAGTACCTAGTGTAAGTCAAACCGTGCCAAAGGAATTTGATCTTTATCCGGGTCTTTAAATAAAATATTTACAGAAAAGTCATCCCTTTATTTAAGATATGCAATATTACGTCGATGAAGGTTAGACATCCAGGTACTATACAAAAAAAAGTTACTCAAGCAACTAGATATGATTTTGGAATTATATGCAATTACAGTAATATGTAATAATTAACAGTTCGTTCATCCTATACCTATATGTTTTCTTTTCGACCTTATAGAAAGGAGTTGCCGATTACTAGCAACGCTGACGACGGTTAGTTAGACATGAATTAATCCAAGCAAGAAGATTTCCGCCAAAGCCAAATGTTTGTAGCTTGTGGGTCAAAAAGGTTATGAGAAACAGAATCAAATGCTTTGGCAAAGTCGAGAAATAACATGTCTACTTGCCCCCCTCTGTCTAGTATGGACCCTACTTTGGACCCTATGGAACCTCCAGGTAATAAGATACGCCAAACAACAGTTACTCAAGTAACTGGATATGCTTTTGGAGACGGTCAGACGTTTCAGGTGGAGACTTGTCAGAAAGACAGGTTTATAAGCACGAAAGCTAGTGGATGCTACCTGAAACGTCTGACAGTTTCCAAAATCATATCCAGTTGCTTGAGTAACTGTTTTTTGGCGTATCTTATTACCTGGAGGATTATCCTTCACCCACGTATCAAGGCCATAACATATCAGACTGGTGAAGAAATGTTGCAGTATCTATGGGTGGTATTTGCATAACGTAGTACGTTTACGAATACGTCGATGAAGGTTACTCATCCAGGTAATACGATACGCCAAAAAGCATTTACTGAAGCAACTGGATATGATTTTGGAAACGGTCAGACATTTCAGCTAGCATCCACTACCTTTCGTCAGCATATCAATCAATAGTTTGTGCTTATAAACCTGCATTTCTCCTCTGGTCTCTCAGTCACTGACGAAAGCTAGTGGATACTAGCTGAAACGTTTGACCATTTCCAAAATCATATCCAGTTGCTTGAGTAACTGTTTTTTGGCGTATCTTATTACCTGGAGGATTATCCTTCACCCACGTATCAAGGTCATAACATATCGGACTGGTTAAGAAATGTTGCAGTATGGCTGGTATTTTCATGGCTTCGTAAGTTTACGAATGTTCTAGATCAGGCTAAGATAACGCAGGTACATGTACGTCACGACTGTAGGCGTGACAGTTAGCATTACACTGTACCTACTAACGCCATGGTATCTTAAGTCTAAGTTCATATTTAGTACATCAAAGTCCTTTTAAAAGATCAATCATGTCTTAAGGTGCGACGTCGCGGTGCTTAAGAGATGAGTGCCGGTAGCACTTCCAGTCATCGGGATTACCTGGCGTTTGGAAGGACGATCTCTGACATTTGAAAGGCATACAATGCGATTTCAGGGCAGCAAAATTGGAAATATTCTACATAAGTCAATCTTTGTGATATTGACACATACTGATTTACATTAGCACATTTGAGTCAGTATTTCTTACTTTGGGCTTTTAAAACTACAGGAACAAGTCCCAAGATGAGTCCTTTATTTTCTGGGTGGTACCCTAAAAATCAGCCAAGGACCCTTCCAGTACCTTGTTGGGAATTTTGGCTCCATGATGGTCAATATACATTGGGACAGTGTGGTTTTAACTCAGTATGTAGACAAATGGCTAGAATATTGGCTTTGAAAAATCAGGTTTCCAAGCGCTAAAAACTGCACTGGATGCCAGAGAGTCGTTTGAAAGAGCGAACTCTGACATTTTAAAAGGCTTTCTCATGTTGAAATCTGTTTTACGGAATAAGCCTATTACCAACATCATGATACCGCGGTTTAGCTTTCTATCACGACAACCGCAGCTTGATGACGCAAAGCCTTACGCAGCCTTGCCATGTTGTCAATGTGGGTAAAAGGGTGAATGCCAATAGCCTTTTTCAGGCCGTAGGGGCAGTGGGTTGTTATCCACACCTGCGTCTAGGGTAGGGCACTGGAAAGCAGGGCCCATCCCTCTCCTTCAACCCGCGTCTTTTACCTCACCAACTGAAATCAGGAACACATTTTACACATGGGTTGAGTGAGGAAAGGTGTGACATTCCAAGCGCACAAGATTGGTGAGAAAAAAAATGACAAGATTCGATTTGATTAAAACTTAATAACATCATCATCTGATATTCCAAAGGTGTCCTTCCATTTTTTTATTCCAACATTTCATGACTAGATATGGTGACTCAAGTAATGTCAACTCATTTTATGCCACCACCATGTTGATGTCTCTTTTACGAAATACGCATGTTACCAATCTGTATCTGTATAGCTGGTCTAAGGTAACCGCCCTTCGGCGTAACACACCAGTTACAACCTTACGATTCCTATCTTCGGACTCACACTCTGTATCTGTATAGCCGGTATAACCGCCATTCGGCGTAACACACCAGCTTCGCAGGCACGCGGCGCGGCGGCAGCTAGCTGTAACACACCGAACGACTTGTTACACTCAATCTGTGCACATTTAATTGCAGGAGTTGTTTTAAGCTTTCTAGTGATGATGCCCCAACTGTGCCTGGTGGCAACGAGTTCTACGATAGTTCTGGGGAAATACGAGTTTTTGAATACCTCGATTCTTGATAAGGCCACACCAAGTAAATTTTATGGATGACGTCCTTTGGAGACCCTAAATCTAATGCGAGAGGGCGAAAAAAAACAAGAAGGGCCCTAAAAAACAAGATGCCTAGATTAGAAATATACTAAGAGACGACAAATGTTAGGACACAAATTGAATGAGGTGACACAGTGTAACAAGCAAGAAGTCTTATTCATCATCAAAACAGTAATAAATCAGGTGGAACAGCAGTTATCGTCCTGTCCTGTTTCTTTCATCACATTTTTGCAGGCCTGCAGAAACAAGGCATGTGCTCTTTACCCATTTCGCGTTACGGGGTTTACGTCAATCTAACGATTTGCGGCACTGTCGTGACTCTTTGGTCATAGTTACAGGAAGCGGAATTTCTTGTTTTTTTTTTCTAGGAACAGGCCAAAATCAATGCGCGCGTGGACGTCATCCATAAAATTTACTTGGTGTGGCCTAACTCTGATATTTGAAGGCATAACTATTTCTTGTTCTTTTCTGGGCT